TAAACTTACAACATGTCTGCAAAGGTTGAAAAAGATCTGTCAGATCTTTTTGAGTTATTGCACTAACATAATTAAATATCTGAATCTACCCTTTTTTCCCCACTATGTGGCGCTGCTTCGGTTTTGGGCCGATCTATCTCAAAATTTGATCACTTTTAATTTGTTGCCGATATAATACTTCTACAAAGTTTGAAGAAGATCTATCAAATAAACTATGAATTGTCATCTTAACAAGAAACTGTCTGTGTCAGTGGACCAATCCCAAATCCATATGTGTTTCTCATCCGAAGAAAACAATAAGCAACTCTTGTCGGAGCCAATCACAGACACCAAGCCTCACTTATCTTTCCCCACTTAGTCTTACGCTAGACATGCGTCACAGTGCTGAACTGGCTGCTTCATTCTACAAAGACTAATCATTTTGAAATATTTTCATTTTCTACATCACACCAAAATGTCTGAAAATAAGCACTTGTTAAAGCAAGGGTATGTGATTCTGCAGAAACCAGCATCCAACTGAAAATCCCACCCTCTCTCTTCAGGCAGCCTTCCGAAGCCACTCTTCCTACACACATGAAGTCATGCTGCCTGATTACTGCTGCAGGGCGAGTTCACAAGAGCGAGCGTGTGGGGGAGGTGAGCATAACGTATCACTGTCATATCCAAATACCTAATGGCTAATTCACGTGTAAGAAAACACCGAACATTATTCTAATGAATGAAAACAATGAGCATGCCTATCGCTAGTACTCACGGCTGTCAAGCTGTTATGTTAGTTTTTGGAAATTTGATTTAAAATGGAGTTGCAGTAACTTATTGCTGGTTAGCTAGCAACAGCTGGCAGCAGTTACGTTATATAATGGATGGATGGATAGATGGATGGATGGATGGGTGGGTTAGCAATACTACACAGCCAAAGTTTGTTTGAAAAGTTTATTTAGAATTTTCAGCACATTTCATCCATAATGTTTGCTGCAGTGCCTACTGATCTGCCACGCCTTTTCTGCTTCACCTTTGCCTGATCTAAGAATTTTTTTCTCAGATCTTTCTTCTCTTTGGCTGTTCCTCGACCACCTCTATTGCTTCAGTACATCAGCATGCGCCGGATTTACCTTCCCTGGTCCCCCTTCTTACTCCTTTTTGCTTCCCCAGTCTACCCACCCCTGTCCTGTGTGTGAGCATGAGCGCCCCCTGTTGCTGATTGGCTGGAACAGTGTTGTGTGGCTCAGTCCGTGCCACTTTGTTTTTTTTCCCCGTTTACAGAGCCAGGGCTAGAGAGAAACACCTTTTTTTTTCAGCGCACACACAGAACAGATGGCTAGGGGACTGTGAGGAGAAGGTTTGACAAAAATGTATCAGATTAAAATCACATACCCTAGCTTTAAGAAAATGAGAGGTTATTAACTGAGCTTGTGACTTTTATTCCTATGGGCCCTGATGCTTTCTAATGATAAACAGCTGGACCTTGTGGCTGGAAAGGTTGAAAATCCCTGTTCTAAGCCATGACCTCTGACTCTACACTACTCTAGCTTATGTAAACACCTTCATGGTAATCAAATATTTACCATACAATATTCACATCAAACACTAGAAAAAATGTGATCTTAGTGATTCTAACTGTGGTTTGATTGTCCAGATGGGCTAGTCTGGGTATTTCTGTAACTGCTATTCATTTGGGAATATCACACAGAGCAGTCTCTAGAGTTCTCTAGGGAGAATGGTGTGAAAAACAAAAAACATCCATTGAGCAGCAGTTCCACAGATGGAAACACCTTGTTGATGAGAGAGGTTAAAAGAGAACGGCCAGACTGCTCTGAACTGACAGACTACAGGCTACAGTAACTCAGATTATCACTCTGTACAACTGTTGTGAACAGAAAAGCATCTCAGAATGCATGTTTTAAACCTTGCGGGGATGGGCTACAACAACAGATGAAGTCAAAACCAATACTGGGTGCAACCCCAGTTTTCTTGGCACACTTTACACTCGTTAATAACAAGCAATCATCACTTGAATGGCACAGCCTATTTGACTATTGTTGCCCACAATGTGCATTCCTTCATTGCCACAATTTACCCATCTTCTAATGGCTAATAAGAACTTAATATGGAAGTTATTATTAAATCATTTAATGCACCATATCACAAAGCAAAAGTTGTCTGACTGGTTTCATGACCGTGGGCCGTCTCCTAAAGTTGGTTCAGCTGTAGGATCTGGGCACCACCAGTGCAGAGCTTGCTAAGGAATGGCAGAAGGCAGGTGTGAATGTGCCTGCATGCACAGTGAGGCGAAGACTTTTGGAGGACAGTCTGGTGTCAAGAAGGGCAGCAAACAAGCCAGTTCTCTCCAAAAAAAACATCAGGGACAGACTGATATTCTACAAAAGGTACAGGGAGTGAACTGCTGAGGACTGGGGTAAAGTCATTTTCTCTGATGAATCCACTTTCCAATTGTTTGGGGCATCTAGAAAAAAAGATTGTCCAGAGAAAAGGTGAGCCCTACCATCAGTCCTGTGTCATGCCAACAGTAAAGCATCCTGAGACCATTCATGTGTGGGGTTGCTTCTCACTCACAATGTTGCCTAAGAACACAGCCATGAATAAAGAATGGTACCAAATCATCCTCCGGGAGCAACTTCTCCCAACCATCCAAGAACAGTTTGGGGACAAACAATGCCTTTTCCAGCATGATGGAGCACCGTGCCATAAGGCAATAGTGATAACTAAGCGGCTCGGGGAACAAAAGATGGACATTTTGGGTTCATGGCCAGGAAACTCTCCAGCCTTTAATCCCATTGAGAACTTGTGGTCAATCTTCAAGAGGCGGGTGGAAAAACAAAAACCCACAAATTCTAACAAACTCCAAGCATTGATTATGCAATAATGGGCTGCCATCAGTCAGGATATGGCCCAGAAATTGATTGACAGCATGCCAGGGTGAATTGTAGAGGTCTTGGAAAAAGAAGGGCCAACACTGCAAATAATGACTCTTTGCATAAACTAAATGTAATTATCAATAAAAGGCTTTCACACTTATAAAATTCTTGTAATTATACTTCAGTATAGAATAGAAACATCTGACACTGAAGCAGCAAGCTTTGTGAAAATCAATACTCGTGTCATTCTCAAAACTTTTGGCCATGACTGTATACTACTTTTGCAATACATGCGAGTTTATGTGATCTTTTGGCAAGCTCCAAAAATACTCCCGTTTAATTGTTCATGGACAATTCGCAAATAACCAAGACCACGAATGTCAAATGTGCAGATGTGAAGGGATTACTGTATTTCCACACAGCTAACGACAGCTCCAACATACCTGCATTGCTGAACAACTAGCCATCACACGATCCTCACTTCTGTTTATGAAACGCCGCACTGAGGTTAAGGCTACACAAATTTTCGTGATAAATTTTTTTTTATAGTTTCATAACAACAGTTCATAGTTTTCAGAATTCAAATTACTCATTAACTCCTTATAAAAAGCTGTATGGGTCACTGTCACTATGAGCTAGGTTGGGAAAAATATTGCATTTTTACCCTTTTTAAAGTTTACTATATATTTTAGACTTTAGACTGCTCAGAAGTGATGTGTAAAGCTTAACCAACTTTTACTTTACAATAGCAAGACGACACCACCCTGTCACAAACCAAAAAAGCCATCATGCTAAAGGAAATGGCCTTTTCAGAGAGGTATTATGTGATGTGACTGATCACTAAGGTCAGTCAAGACCATATAGGGTGGACAAGAATTCCAAACTCACACTCAAAATGTTTAACATTACAATGAAACATGCAACTAACTTATCAAAAGACTTGAATCACGTAATACATTATTTATGACTTAAAGAAATGTGTAGTATATTTAACATTGTTGATACTTAATCGCTTAAAATGAATATTAACGATAACTAAGCGATACCTGCAACGTGAAAATCCTTTACATGCCATCAAACTAAATGCTATAAAAATAGCGTTTTCCAATATCTGTATAAAATTTTAACCGCTATACTGAGGACCCCAAAGGCACTCCATGTTGAGAATGATCCACATAAACACCACACTTTACTTTATCAAACTTAAACGCAACGTTAGAAACCTACAGTGGCTGTATGGCTTAAGGTTTCCGAAATGTTAGTGTAATGCGCATATCTTAGTGTGCTGGTTTCAGTTTCATATTATCAGCGAGGGTTGCCAATTTTAGTCAGTTGGCTAGAAGATTTCCAATTGCAGACCAGTATGCATACACATGCATACGCATTTACACGTATGTAAGTTTTATTACCTTGTAGATTTTGCAAACAACCCCAACGCTTCTGATATAGCTAATTTCAGGTTAACAATGGAAATATATAGATTTGCTGTATGATTTCTTGTCTTAGAGTGGCAGACTGAAAGCCTGAGTGTCACGCCAGATGCGTGAGAGATGGCAACCCTCGAGAGCATTTTATTCCAACTTAGATACAACGATGATCCTGCCACTCACCCAGCACTTCTGTCAAATTGGACCACCTAAAGTAACAAAGAATGATTAAAGTGCTCGTTAACTGACCTGAATAGTCGTTTATTTTCTTGTAAGAGATGGCACTGGGAGCCTCACTGCGAATCAAGTCGGCTAATTTTGTTATACCCATTATTTAGGTATATAAATAAAAAAGAATAATTTATGTTTTGGGGAAAACGCGACAGCACTTCCGGGTTTGCGCGTATTACACTAACACCGCCCACAATGGCCGGGCGTGATGACGTAACAAAGACGAGCAGCTCTCCGTTTGTCACGCTCGCCCCGCATCACACCTCCGCCTTCTGGCTCTTTTATTACAAATTTCAGGCAAAAAAATCGACTGATAATGTTCAGAAATCTATGTGATACTTCGGAAAACCTATACAGTGGACAAATACGTATATTTCTATACAAGTTTATGATAAATAAATGCAATTTAAACAATTAAATTTAAACTAAAACACACCTGCCATTTGGGATAGAAACTTAGATTTAATCTTTTCCTGGGTTATTCTTTTATTATTTCTGTACATAGCCTATTCCGTGCTCTCACCTAAAATATGGTCAAATGACATCTGTAATGTGCAATTCTTAACAGCAGACACATTCCTAATAAACAACAGTACTGGATCAGCTAGAGTTGTTCAAGTCAAAATAACCACGTTAATAAAAAAGAAGCACGTGGCAATAGCACTTAGTGTAGGTCAATATCTTCAGAAATCTGAAAAGGAATAAGAGTTGATTTTCTGTTAGAAATAATTTTTTTATAACTACAGTTTAGATCATCTGGATTCCAGCCATAAAAGCTTTGAGTTAATTGTCACAATAAAGGCCCCATAACAGTAGGAAATTCTGTTTAAATTACATTTATAACACTATTATTATTTATGTTATAAGTAGTCCATTTCGGCTGTCTCAAGGTGCTTCGTTATGTAGTCCAGCAGGACTTTCTCATTGGGTTTATTTTTCAAGTAGAAATGGGATCCAGGAAGCATTTGTATGTTGAATTCTCCACTCGTAATGTCCCTCCAGGCTGTCAAAAAGCAGAAATATAATTCATGAAATAGGAAAAGTAGAGTGCAGGTTTTCTCTTTTAATTCTACACTCCGGGGTACTGAAGAGACTCAAGGTTAACTGTAGACATCTATCCATTCTGGATATCACTAAGGCTGCTTCCAATGCAAAGACTAGTGGCTGAGGCTTGGTTTGCCTTCGTGTCCTTCTTGAATATGTTACTGAAATAAACAAGCTAAACTCACAAGCTGTTCATTTTGTTTTGTTTGTTTTTTTGAAGAAGTTTCTATATACTTTTGATTCTCACCTTCTAGATCATGAGGAGAATCTTCAGTTCCATCAAAACAGGACACGGGACATGAGAGAAAAGGGTGATCAGGTCTTGAAATCCTAAGGGTGAAGACAGCATCTTGCTTTTACTTGCAAAATAGCCAAAAACATTAGCAAGCATCAATCTCTGCAAGTGTGTACTGCCACAACTAGACTACAATCATGGTTTAACTATACTTGGGTGGTCATGTGTTTGGGTTATGGCTTTAGCCTCAATTCAAGTGTCCTAAAAAAATAAAATAAAGAGAACTGACTTGAAGTTTTCCACAATGTGAAGATCGGCTTTCAGGACAGGCAAGAACAATTTTACAATCTCAGGATCTGCCAGGATTTCTGATGGAGTTCCCCCGGCAACCTTCATCCAATGCAGAAAATCCTCATCAGAGAGTCTGCTTTTCTTAGGAGCCTGAAGTCGTGTCTCTGACTGTGGATTTGAAACACAAAACCTTGTAAATATTGGAAGGGAAAAGAAATAAGTGAGGCACTGTAAAAAATATTTCACATCCCACCATAGGTGGAAATTTCAGGTCCTGAAAGTAAAAATCCAGACCAAGATTTTGTTTCAACCAGCTAATTGAGTATAAAGAGTTACAGTCTCAGAGTACTTAACTGGCTGGTTGAAACAAAATCTTGGTCTGGATTTTTACTTTCTGGATCTGAAATTTCCACCTCAGCATCCGACTTACATAGGGAGCAGAGACTCCAGACAGGAACATGTGCACAGGTTCAATATTGTGTACCCTCTTCAGGTGTTCAGCAACTGCACAGCAGGTCATGGCTCCAAAACTACGACACAGAAATATTAACGGGCAAGTCACACAGGCCTCATTAATATGGACTGTGGGATCAGCCGCGACCATCACCAAGCATCGTGTTATACCTGTGGCCAAACAACGCAAAGGGCTTCTCCTGCAGTGCTGGTAGCAGTGCGCTGACAACCTCATCCACAACCTCCTGCATGCTCCCAAAGAAATGCTCCTTCACTCTGGCTTCCCTCCCAGGCAGCTTAATGGAATACACTGCAGGTGGGGCAGAGGGCAGATCATTCCCTTCAAAGCACTGTTCTCCTGCCAATTAATATCTTACCATTCTAACAATAATCGACCCGGTAAGGTTTCCAAAGCAGAATACAACCGGAAAACCTTTGCGTTTTTCCCTGGATGGTAAACTGAGGAATAGACACCATCCTTAACTAAAGGTGGAGATTAAACTGCCCCCTAACGTGACTGTTCGAAATGTAAAAACTCAGGAAATATCAAAATCTAAAAACTGGTCAGGAACAAATAATAAGGTTAAAACTGTTAAAATTATTATTAATAATGATGATGATGATGATGAAATTATTCATAGTGCCAGACAGCATGTAGAGCTATTACAGGTCACCTGTCCCTGTACATTTGTGTTGACGGTCCGCCAGGCAAACCTTCAATAGAGCTGTGAAGCAGGTTTCCCCAGCGGGCATAATGAATGGATCCGCCACCGGCCCAGGGAAAACACAGCAGCCTCACTGCGGCTCCGGGCTGCCTATTGAAACAGTTGATCACCTTCTCCATAGTACGAACCTGGGAACAAACTTTATCAATATTTAAAATTTGATGCACTTGAAGAACGTGGCTTCCAAATGAAGTAATATATTAAAAGATGTTGGAAAGCTTTTTAAATTCAATTTAAATTCAATTCAAGATTCAAAGGTTTTATTTGTCAAACAGTAGCGATGTTACGCGTCGTACGAAGTAAAAACAAACAAAAGCACATAATGTGTAACAATTAAAATCGGTTTAATATTCGTGGTTTACATTTCTCGATATGATATGCGCAAACCTCTCAAGCTACGATTTTCTGTGGTTAAACAGCTTCAGCACTTCGTCCTGGGAAATAAATTTCTCTTTCCTGCTCCTGTAAGAAATGTTTTAAGGAAGATTTTCTTCATTGCGTCACTTTTCACATACAAAAACCATAATGTTCCTTTCGGTTATTTACAAGGAAGCAGTATTTTGTATTGTTTTATTACCCGTTAAAGACGAAAATTATATTCTGGAAAAGAGAAAGATATACTATAATCCACTACAATCACGTGATTAAAATTACTTCCGGCTGTGATGCATGTCGGGTAATATAGTTATTAAGACAGAGTATTTCTGCAAGACATTTGAATTCCCTTAAATTGAACGAGCTACCCAGCTACCACAAATCTGAAATCAAGACAAAAACCCACTTTCGTGCTGGTCCAGGATAAATTCAATGCCCTTGGTTTACAGTTATGAGCAAGCCAAATGTGTCTTAAGGTGTACAATTTGGCATGTGATAGAATGTTCTACCAGTTTATATAGTGGCATTGTGAGTACTCCTGCCTCACACTTCCACGGTCGTTGGTTTGAATCCCACCTTCACTTTGTGTGTGTATGTGGTAGTTACATGTTCTTGAATTATTGCAAGGGTTTCCTCACCCCAAAACATAGAGTTAATTAAGCTGTATTTGGAGAGGATTAGTTTTACATGGGGACATAATACATTTTATTTAAAATAGCCCAAAGACACTGTACATAACAAGAAAATAATAATAAATAGATTTTAAGATAATAAAAACAATACATTTTATTTAAACAAGTCTTTCAAGATACCTAAGGACATTGTACATTAAAAAAAGATTTTAAAGCAATAAAAACATAAAATGAATTTGGATATATAAAATCATAAAACTGAAAAGAAAATTAGAGCTAACAAAATGCACAATTAAATAGGTCAATTTTAAATTCCGATGTAAAAACAGAGAGGGTTGTGCTGGCACGGAGCTCCACAGACACAGCCTTCCACAGCCGTGATTTGCTTTTCAGAAGCGCTAACTGTGACGTTAATATCTGGATGGGATTCATTGTATCTTTGCTATCTCTGGTAATTTGGGAAAAAGACGCATTTTTCATCCTGTCTAAATCGGCCAGTCAAATCACTTTACCACCTACCCAGGGAACCTCCCCAGGTAGCAGACTGGCATCCTGTGCATGGCCTGCATCGTGCTGCCTGGGAGGACCCTCCCCATGGCCCTGACCTGGAGAAGCAGTCGGAAGATGGATAGCTGCTGGATAATCGTACTGATACAAAGGCGATAAAGGAAAGCACTGGCATTTTATTTTATTGTGCACAATTTCCTATAACTTAGACAAAACACTTACACCTTGACATTGATTTGTGTCTTATTCTGCTTCACAAACATGCAGAACTCCATCATTGCAACTAACCTATTGACAAGTAGATTCTGTTGTACCACAAAAAATTTTTTTTTTTGGTAACACAATTACTTGGTATCTCCAAGAACCTGTAGTAGATAAGTAGTGTGGAAGTAGATGGATGAGTCACTTCATGTGTGTCACCATTTCTATTATCCTGCACTTGCTTGTTACATAGTGCTAGACATTAATACTTTGAAATAATATTTTTTAATAACCTTTTACAATAGGCTGTTGAATTTACAATGAGAATGCAGTCATCCACCACTTGTGTTTGTTGAACAAAACAAAGGTTTAGCATCTCGGTTTCAAACCGCATGATTTATAATAAATGCAGTTCGCTGTAGAAAGCTATATTCACAGAAGTAAAATGACTGGGTCTGGTTTAATCCAGTCCAGACTACGTGTACAACACCTGGTTTATCTGTAACAGGAAGTGGAACAAATATCAAATTGGATTGAACGTGGCATTTCTCCCAAAAAGTGGACTGAGTCAATGTAAGTTTTATGGCTCCAGGCAATTGTGATTCAGAGAACCAGAGAAGAGAGGTGCAAAGTGCAAAAAAAAAAGATAAAGGTGACAGTAGCTTTTTATTCGACTGGCATTTGGCTCTGGTGGAGTATTTCCTGGTCCTGAGATGCTATGGGGAGTTTCTGTGGGGCTCCCCCTTGGATAGGGACCCTCTCCAGGGCCAGCTCTGTGTGGGCCAGCGCTCCTCCAGTCAGATGCATGGGGGTGCTCTCCACTGTCACCACACGGCCACAGAAATTCTGCAAAGCAACCAAAAAGCAACAGGTATGTGGGGGTTGTGGGTCTGCAGCTGGTTGGCACATATAACCAAATAATAAATGGGCATGAAATGACAATCGCAAAGACATCTTTAATGTATGATGGGATTGTGAATTTTCAAAATGCCGCTCCAGAAAGAAGCTGATGAAAAGTGCTCAGGTTATAACACATATTGTCTGAGGCACTAGGTGACTTTGCATGTCACGGTAGAAACCAGTGCAACACAGTATAATATCAAAGGTGAATCAGCAAGAGATTAAGATTAGAGTTAAAAGGATCTTTTGCTTTGTGATACAATTTCGGTGCTGCTTCGAAAGCGATACACTTACTGTGACATACAATCCAGAGATGCGGGTGGAGTGAAAAACAGATCCAGCATCTTCAGTCTTCACTTTGGATGACTCTATACAGTTTTCCTGATACTTTTTGGACTCCTGTAAATTGGAATAACTGTAATTAAAGAAATGAACTAAATACATTAATTACTGCATCCCCACAGGGATTCAGTATAAATAAGAACTTCATACTGTGAGTGCGTACGGATGATATGCTGAGAGGGGGGAAAGGTGTAGTGTCATCTTTCTCTGCTTTGGTTTTATTTTCAGTGGTGAAATGGGAAACCAGGAACACAGACAAACTGGTAAACAATGCCTTTTCAGCTTCTAGGGAACAGAAAGTAAAAATTTTCAAACCTTACATGATCTCTCATATTCAAAAAGGACTTAATCACACACGCTATAGTACTCTGCTTCTTCCTATAAGCCTCCGCTAACACAATAGATACCCTTTGATTGATAGTACCTGGTTGTGCATTGGCATCACCAATGAGAGTGAAAGAATTTGGAGTGCTCTGCTGGCTGTGTGCCACATGTTCCAGTGCAATCTGATATCAGGCCAGTGCTTTGAAAAGCCAAGTTACGTACACAATCGTGTGGTCACCATGGGTAATGCACAGAGATCTCTCAGGTAGTGAAACCCTCTATGTTCAAGTACTGGGAGTGGTACAAGTTTTTTGTGGTGCAGTCCAGGTGACAATCTCAGCTTTTTCTGTTTTATAGTTACTTTAGTAGCAATTTGCTGATTTGCTGATAAAATAATTTAGAGTACGATGATCAGATATTCCATGTCAGGGAGGGCACTTTCAGGTACTTCAGGTTTTACAAACTACTTAAAAATAAGTAGAGTTTAGTTCTTTTTTCTGCTTTGACTAGTTTGTTTCCTTGATTGAAAGGCTCATCCAGCTGTTTCACATTAACATTATTGCCAATTACTATGATTATAGGAGACATACAGCAAGAACTCAGTGCTTAAGTGAAATCCACGTCCTTTTAATTGAAATGGTAGATTACAAACCCTGTCCGAACTCAAAGTGTCCTCCCTGACAGGGATTATCTGGCCACCCTATTGAATGGGGCCCTATTATGCTTTTCTGGGTTTCCTTTTGCTCTAGTGTGTTATGCAGCTGTATGTGCGTGTAAACGGTCTGCAAAGTCTTAAGGCCCAAAGTACACAGCAAAGGGAGTAACTCTCACCACTAAGGGTGTAGCGGTTCTGAAACTCAGACAGAAACTGCGATGCAATCATTCATGATCTCGTATCGAAATCCCCCCCAACACCTTGCTATAGGCGTAGCCTGTTCAGGTCTGATTACGGTACTAATGTTACAAAAGTCATTTTTCATTTCACAATTCTACCCTGTAACACATGTAAATCACAAAATCATCATTTAAAGTTAATGCAAGCTGTATATTTTGTAAATATTACACATTACACCTAGAGATGAAACAGTATGAAAATTTTGCATCACAATTATATGACCATGGCTATCATGGATATCAGTATTATCGCTGTATTGTTAATGTCCCAAAAATGTTCAAAAAGTAGGCCTACTGACACAGAGAGAAATCATTTCACCATCATACCAAGTTTTGTATTGATAATTGCACAGCAGCACTATGCACTTTCTGTTTGCATAAACATTAAAACAATAACACAGACACCTTGAATTAACATTAAAAATCTTACTGTCTCTGCCTTCCGCCATGTTTTCACTGACAGAAAACAAACCCACTTTGCATGCTGGCCCTGCACACCTACATCTGGGAGACCGTTCCTCACTCTGGTTGATGCTAGACAGCATTAGAGTGAGTTTTTCAAAGCTCAGTTTTAATAATAATAATTAAAATTTGAAATCGTAGCACTAAATGTCGGGAATTTCCCCATGGTTTACCGTAAAACCGGTAACTGTTTTATCCCTAGTTACTGTTACAAAACTAATTTTTAATTCCATAATGTAAAACAAACAAAATGTTTTCTTCCTATTCAAAAAAATTGATCACATGTGTAAAAGATTGACATCCTATTGTTCATTCATTTTTTAATGCATTTGAAATCTTCAGAAATCAAGCTCTCTCCAAATGAAAAAATGACAGATCATCAGAGGTGCGGACTTGAGTCACCAATCGCTCACAACTTGACTCGGACTCAAGTCACAAGTTTGATAACTTGTGACTTAATTCGGCAAAACTGATGGAAAGACTTGGACTCGATTTGACTTGAGAGCAGATGACTTGAGCCTTGGTCAGCAGATGACTTGAGAGCAGATGACTTGGATCCTATGACTCGAGAATACTTAAGGTGATACCGTAACGTTAATTTTATAGTTTTAGTGTTTATTAATTCTCTGCTGTCTGCATTTTCATTTGGCTGAATGCAAGGTCTCCTAAGTTATTTGGAAAGATGCATCACTCCTGCATGTACATGGACATAGATACTGTTTGAGGACAACCCTGAAAGAGTTAGACACTCTATTTTCAACCTTTCTCTGCTTATGAATGACTTAACCTATGACGCACTGTAGTGGATTTTTGCTGCAGCAAGTTTTAACCACTAAAGGTAAAAAAAACTGACTTAGGTACAAGATACAAGGTAGTGATTCGAGTTACATGACTCACAGCTCGACTGACTTGAGTCACAAATTTGATGACTTGTGACTCGACAGATGGATGGAAAGACTTGGACTCAAACTTGAGGGCACATGACTTGAGACTTCACTAGGACTCGCCAAAGAGCGACTTATTCCCATCCTTGCGGATCATGACAATGCAACTTTGGCGGACTTGGCATACAAGCCTTCATAGAATGGCATACATAGGCAGAAATATGTTTGTTTCAGAATGATGTTGTTCAGTTTTCTGAAATGGCCTTAAGTCAGTGTTTTTCAGTTTCATCTTTCTACCACTTATAACTGGCCTGAATTGTGTGTATATAATTCCTAAAGAAGTTAATCCAGAAGTGGTCTCAAATAACTTTGCTGTCTCCATCTGCACTGATTGTGGAGCTGTTTTCCATGCAAACAACCTGTGGAGTTGTTCAGTCAGGCAAACCCCATCAGTGAGGTGTTTGGAGTGAGTGGATCCATATCTGCCACATTGGATAAAACATAACCAAGGGGATCTGAATTGTTTGTTCCTTCTACTTCAATAAGAGGTACTGAGAGCCACCTCAGTGCTGATCTAACCTTCTTGGTGCTAAAGGCTAATTTTATGAAGCAGATCTTTCGCTTGCAAGAGCCACCAAAATATCGAGTGTTAGGAGGACTGAAGTAAAAGTGAAACTGCTGGTTGCCCAGCTTTGCCTGCAATGGCTTTGAAAACTTCCTGCAGTTCAGTGCTGCCTTGATTTGATAGCAACCTGAAGGGTTTACAAATCACAGCAAGGGTTTATCCCCAGGAAGATGAATTTAGTGGAATATCCCTTTGATATCACTCTTAACATACATAAGATATTCCCAAAAGTGAAGGAACATGCCTAACAGAGTGGTTTCTAACAGATGCCTGGAAAGCTACACAGCACAGCATTTTTGGAAATGAAAAGTGAAATTGGAAAATGAAAAGCATTGTTTTGAAAAGCACATGAAAATGATACAAAGGCTTTTCAATTTTATTTATTAATTTTATTTTTTTATTTTTCACATCTGACTCATACATGAGTGGAAAATTAAAGTGCAAATGGTGCTATTTCATTTTAATTTTCACTTTGGCAGGATTTTTGCGCATAGACTTTGAAAGCTAAATGGCAAAGTGAAGATTGTATTTTCATTTTATCATTTTCATTTTATTTTTTTGCAGAAAATACCTCCCATAACATAATTTAATTTTCCCTTTGAAGCCAGGATACATACAGCCCATAGATGCTAATTCACATTGTGTATCAGTGGAAGTCTATGGAAGATTCATGTACTCTTTGTCTAAAAGGAGAACAGAGTATGCTTTGATTACGTGTTTTTGGAGCCTGCCCAGACGCTGCGCTTCACTGGGAGCCTAGGAGAGCTTCATAAATAGTTTTTGCTTAGGCAATGTTGACTGGACAGATAGGCTCACAGTCAGATATTTTAGACTCCTCTGGAAGCCAGACTTTCCTGCAAGGTGATTGGGAGACGTCTCAGCAAGACAGGATAAACTACCAATGACATTAATGCTCACAACTGACAAGTTTCCCTCGCTGTCGGTAGTGTTGGGTTGCAGTATTCACTGATTCTGTTGCATGCAGGGGCACAGAAGCATTTCTCTGCAATACTAATGACAGTTTATTGTTTTGTGTGTTATCTTTCACCATTGCCTTTTGTAAATGTTGTAAATAAAGTTGTTCTAACTGAGTTTTATCATTTGTTTAATGTTCAGTGCAAGTTCAGTGGTTTTTAGTAAGCTAGTTTGGTAGTTGCTTATTATCTAAGCTGTCTGTCTTCAAAATGGTCAAATTGCTTGAGAAGGTGCCATGCTACTAATAATAGAGCACTTTGTAGAAAAAGAAAGGAGAGCAGAATTTACATACGAGTAGCTGACTGACTATAATAAAAAAGACCTCTTTTGGTTAAACTGCCAACACTGTGCTTCCCTCATTTTAAAAATCACCATCCGCGACCAGCGTTCTTGTATTTTCTGCTTCTGCTCAGGTTAGGTGTTTCTTTGCTATGACATGTTCTTGTCAAGCTACCAGCAGCTAGAAATTTCTCCTTGGTTCCTCCAAGTATGTAAGCATTAACAGAGCAACTTTCCCACAGTAAACTTTCATTAGGTTACTATTCATAACAGTTCAATGTATTCAATAAGCAGTGCCTGTCTATTTTACCCATTTAAATTATTTTTATTTGTTAGCGCCATATAATGTGTACAGGCATATAATGTGTTCACATTATTTTTAATATTTCTTAACACTGGAATTTCAAAATAGNAAATTATTTTAATTTGTTAGCGCCATATAATGTGTACAGGCATATAATGTGTTCACATTATTTTTAATATTTCTTAACACTGGAATTTCAAAATAGATCTGCCTCCAGCTCAACTCGTCCATACAGTTCTGTTTTTTCCCTCATCTGAGTACCCCCTGCAATTCCTTGGCACGGACGGGCACCCCCCAGTTTAAAATACCTCACTTCTACCAGACAAGGTGGCTTTCTTTCAAATGTGGTTCTGTTAAATATCCATTCAGTTTTCATTAAGGCTTAAATTCCAGTTAGTTATGGGACTGAAACCAATATGCAAAGTTCAAAAATGAATGATAAACTCACCAGCAAAATCTTATAGTCGGATGTCTTAGCTACAAAATGCTCCCAGGATTTTCTGATCAGCTCTTCCTGCTTGTGGTTAGATCGTATCTATAAATAAAGAAAAAAAGACTGAACATCGTTCAAGCCCCATGAAATAAGGGATATATCTGTAAAACAGATGCTGCTGGAAGAGGGACAGTGGGGTTAAGGACCAGCAAGCATACAGGTCCCACTAGAGCCCATGAAGTGAATGGTGAGCACCTCCGAGTACAGGAGCTGCTCCTCATCCATGTCCTTCTTACGCTGATGCTCCAGCAGCTCTGCCTGCTGTGAGGCCGTCACCCGGGCCACATTCTCTGCTGCCTCCGCGACGGCCTGCAGGCCCACCCCATCTGGAGAAACAGGCCTCACCCCCTCAAGCTCCAGCTTCCTGGTGATCTCCTCCCACACCTCCCCCACCTGCGGTAAAGCCATTTCCACACTTAGCAATCCGTGAACCCGTATGACAGATGGCAGCAGGTTTCTGCCCATCGCACAATTACAGCACAAAGCAGATTACAGTACATAAACCTCAAAGTGTAATCCATGCTGTAAATAGGAACTGATTTATTCACCTTAAAATCCAAGTATCTCCTTATAATCGCAAGGGTGACGTAGTCCTCAGTCGACAATCCAGGCAGATTTTCGAAACCTGCAAACATTTTAACAACATGCAGCTTCAATGCATCACCCTACCTGCTGATGTCAGGTCAGACAGCCTCCCAACTCACCAAGACGACAGAATATGGAGTAAATCTTGGAACGGAGGTTCTCTGTCACGTCCATCACAGAGGCACTGGGTCGGTCTGCAGGCAATGGCTCAGCTGAAGCATCTTCCTGGCAGGCAGACAGGATGGGTTTCTTGACGTCTGGCCATCCAAGGAACAAAGCAACAAATCGTGGAAATACTACTGGACTGTTGCTATAACCTTACATACAGTGTGTATATGTGTATACAAGTGGTATGTGTCAAAGTAACACAGATTCCTAGCAGAGCATTGCCCAGAACGTCACACTGCCTCTACCAGATTGCTTTCTTCCCATAGTGCACCCTGGTGTCGTCTCTTCCCCAGGTAAATGAGGCACACGCACCCAGCCATCCACATGATGTAATAGAAAACGTGACTCATCAGATCAGGCCACCTTCTTCCATCGCTCCATGGTCCAGTTCTGATGCTCACATGTGCTTTCAGCAGTGGACAGGGGTCAGCATGGACACTCTGACCGGTCTGCAGCTATCCTGCCCCATACGCAACAAGCTGCGATGCCCTGTGTGTTCTGACACCTTCCTATCATAGCCGCCATTAACTTTTTCAGCAATTTCTGCTACAGAACCTCTTCTATGGGAATCAGACCAGATGGAGCAGCCTTC